GGACCCCCGGGGGTCCGCGAGAGGTATCTTGGGGGTCCTCAAAAATTTTAATTTGGCTTCTATTTTAAAAAATGCGTGGAGAACAATGAACTAATAAAACAAACATAATAAACTTAATAATAAGGGTTGAACTGACAAATTATCTTTTAAAACAGCATGGGGTTTTTGAGGGGGTCCCTGGATTTTTTTTTCACCCTTAGGGGTCCCCAGACCCAAATGGCTTGAGAAGCCCTGACCTAAAGGTTTAGATTTAGTCATTTCCAGTAGCCTGCTGGTGACTTTAACAGCAAAATGTACACTTTTTTTGTTTTTGTAGAGCCTTGTTTTTTTTTTTCCTGCTTTGATTACACCCGACCCTGTTATTTGCATGTTTTTTTTATTTATTTGTTTGTTTATTCGTGGAGCACAGCTGATGGTAATGAACAGAGAGGGGAGGGACTGGACTCTGCGCAGATCTTGATGAAGTCAGAGATTCATTGAACTCGTTGGTTTGCCTCTCTGTCCTGCTGACTGAAACCCGCCTGTTTCACACAACTGTCTGAGAATCTGTTCAGGAAACAACTGGAAGCCACAGCTGCTGCAGGCAGCGGGGAGAGTGATGCTCTGATTGAAGGGTAAACTTTGTTTGTTTTCATTATGTTCTTCAGGTTTCTTTCTAGTAAGTTTCTTCGCGCTTTGGACTGGAAATACCGGCTATAAGAAGGATCCCCCCCCCCTCCTGCTGCTGTTTTTGGACACCACCATGAATAACCAGTCGCTGACAGGGAGGACCATGGTCCCGACCATCCCGTCTGTCATGTTTATCTTCGGGGTGGTCGGGAACGTCATCGCTATCGTGGTTCTTTGTAAAACGCGCAGGGAACAGAAGGAGACCACCTTTTACACGCTCGTGTGCGGGCTGGCGGTCACGGACCTCCTGGGGACCCTGCTGGCCAGTCCGGTCACCATCGCCATCTACGTGAAGGGCTCGTGGCCCGGAGAGGACCCTCTGTGCCAGTACTTTGGGTTCACCATGCTGTTCTTCTCTCTGGCGGGACTCAGCATTATTTGTGCCATGTCTGTAGAGAGATACATCGCCATCAACCATGCCTACTTYTACAACGACTATGTGGACCAGAAACTGGCCGGGCTGACCCTGGTGGCCATCTACATCTCCAACGCGCTCTTCTGCGCGCTGCCCATCGTCGGGTTTGGCCAGGTGAAGAAGCAGTACCCTCAGACCTGGTGCTTCTTGGAGTGGAGGAGCAACAAGACCAGCGACGCCGCCTACTCCTACATGTACGCTGGCTCCAGCTCCCTCCTCATCCTCGCCACGGTGATCTGTAACGTGCTCGTGTGCGTGGCTTTGATCCGGATGCACCGGCGCTTCGTGCGCAGGACGTCGCTGGGAACAGATCTGGGCCGCAACGTGGTGGACCCGCGGAGGAGAGGGCGCAGCTTCAGCCGACTGGCCGGGACCGAGATCCAGATGGTCATCCTGCTTATAGGCACGTCGGCAGTGGTGCTCATCTGCTCCATCCCACTTGTTGTGAGTTCTTTGTAACCATTACGCACATTTTACGCACGGCGCGTGTTTCAAACACGCAGTAATAAGTAGTCAATTACTCAAACTAAATTGTTCAAATCAAAATAGAGTTATATAAAAATGGTTTTGTTCCATTACTTTATTACTGCTTTGACAATAGGATCTCTGTATGCACAACTTTTTTCCAAATTATCGCAAAAGTCTTACAACCAGGAAGTTTAGAAATGATGTAAAATCTGGATAAAAACTGAACACAACGAGCTGCAAATCTCATATACCCATTTTTTTTATTTTCAATAGATAATTAATTGAATGCTATATGGATTATCCATCCACAAAATAAATGTTGAAACTAAGATATTGTCTTTTTTTGCGTCATGTTTCTCAGCACTCCATCATGCAAACCATGTAAAATCCAAAACCTGCCCATGCCATTTATGCTTATTTACACGACATACCATCAGGGAGGCAGACTTTAGACGGTGCAATAAGGCTTCCCTTATAGCTGGCTTATAATTAGTTTATGGGTAGGTTATTAATTCATCTGTAAAACTTTATAAATCATTAATAAGTGTTTATTATGCATTTTATAAGAACAAGAAAGAGACAAAACCGTCCGGTTTCTTGCCAAATAGTGAGCCAAATCTGTTCATGTAAATATTACTTCTAACATTTCAGACTAGGTTACTATCTTGTAAGCACAATAATGTTTGGAAACACATATTTTACATATAATATCGTACATCATTATACATATCCACAACTATCGGGAGCCTTATTGTAAAGGCTTCCTTATGACATTTATACATGTTTATTAGTCATTAATAAATAGTGTACATACTGTCTTATACTTTATGATAAGGCTCCCTTTGATAGTTCTGGATATGTTTAATGCAGCATCAGTACAATATTATTTGTAAAATGTGTGTTTCTAATATGTTATTGTGCTCACAAGGTAGTAACATTTTTGACTGCATGGTCCCTCTCCTCTTTAAGGGTCATCTGGGTTTTCCAAAAAATAATTCAAATTTCAATTTGTCTGAGAAAGTTTTCCACTTTGACTCATGAGTTTCTGGATGTGTTTACCACATGCACTCTAAAAATGAAATGTTGGATTTACTTAACCATGTTATGTGACCTGGTTCCACTTAACTGAGTTGAGTAAACTCAAAGCAACATGCTCATGTTCTTTGGTTAAAAAACTGGTATATTGCTTTGAATTTACTCAACTCAGTTAAGTGGAACCAGGTCACATAACATGGTTAAGTAAATCCAACATTTCATTTTTTACAGTGTGGCTTCCTCTTTTCAGGATAGAGCTTTAACCAGTGTTTGTGGATGATATGTTGAACTGTATTTACAAACAGGGATTAGTAAAAATGTTCCTGCTCCAGGTTCTGGAAATCTTTATATTATATAAACTGTAGATTTGATATATTATGTTCCATTGTAAAAATAATATGACTTCATGAGATTTACAGATCATAACTTTCTCTTTTTATTTGTAGTTTATACATTTGTCCCATCTTTTTGAAATTGGGGTCATAGTTACATATAAAGGAATTACAGCTTTTAAAATGCACACATCCAAAGCCGTTCAAAGCTGTCAAGTTTCCATCAACCATACCCTTTTGTCTTGCAGGCTCAGGTGTTTTTGAACCAGCTCTATAAAACTCCGGTAGAACTGCAGCTAGACAAAAACCCCGACCTCCGAGCGATACGCTTCGCCTCCTTCAACCCCATTCTTGACCCCTGGATCTACATCCTTCTCCGCAAGGCTGTCCTCCTCAAGCTCATCGAGAAAGTCAAGTGTTTGTTCTGTAAAGTGGGAGCAAGGAGGCAGCAAAGACAGGGCAACTTTCTCTGCATCGACGCTCACCAGCTCTCCTCCAACATCTCTAACCGGGACTCCCACTCTTTGGTGTCTCACGAACTGAAGGACGTCAGAAGAACCTCGCAGTCCTTCCTTTGTGCACCGGAGGGAAGCGAGGCTTACCCTGGAAGCTGCGCTCAGCCAGACAAACTCTCTGATTCGCAGCCGTCTTCGGTCCGAAACTCAAAAGCTTCTTGTTCCTCCGAGAGCGAGGCTCAGACTGAGGAAGGAGCAAACGTAACCACGGATCTTTCAGCGCCGCCGCGCTGCAAAAACGCAGCTCTTCAGGTGACTCTAAACGCAGACACAGTCGTGGAAAAATGCATCTGACTCTTTCTGATTCAGAGGAAAGTTTGTCAGATTCCACCGAGGATGGTTGAACTCTTGAAAAAAAAAAGAGGTGTCGGCACGTAAAAATGTCTACTTTCTTTATTGTGGAGTCAGTGAGAAGTGCAGCTAAACTCAGTGATGACTAACTCTGACATCATGAGCAGACTCTGTTATTTTGACCGAGACAAATGCTCTGCAACAATCACTGGCGGAAAAATACATCCTCCTCAGTTTCATTTCAGGAGCCTTTTGCTGCAAAGTGGGTGGAAATCAGAAGAAGTGAGTCACAACACATTAGTTTTTACTGCAAATAGAAACAGCTGTGAAAGTGATTCCTCTTGACGAAGTGTTTTTGGAAGAGCAAATAAACCGTTTGTTTTCTTTGCTCCAAAAATGCCATTTTAACACAAAAAATGAAGCTTTTTTAATCTTAAAGTGGGGATTAACCCTGAGCTGTTAAACACTGGAACTCTTAAACATCATTTCATTAAAATTAAAAAGGTAGAAACTGTTGTGTGGAAGAATAATTCTTCTCCAGGAGAAGGTTGTTGTTGATACGTCCCAGTTTTTGGAGGGATTGTAAATCTAAGCAAGTATTAAGATGTATGACTGAAGAGGTTTGAGAGGTGTTTTTTTTTTTTTTTTTTGGTGCATTAATGGTTTTCATCCAGATCTGCAGCTCAGAAAGAGTTAAAGTGAGTAAAATAATTACAGTATTTTTTTTTATCAAAACAGTTGATTGGTACGTGCAATCACTTCCTGTTAAATGTGTGAAAACTGCCAATTTACCCATCCCTCAAACATGAGAACTGTGTTCAACAATCAAAATTAAATTAGAAAAAACAATAATTTAAAACTGGACTGTTTACCTGTAAAATAAGGATCTGTTTCTTAACATTTCAGAGGTTAATAATCAGAGCATAATCAGAGGATTTTAACTCTGCTGTGCTTTTTATGGCAGAATTCCACTTTTTTATAGCCTCCTATATTTAGCCTAAGTAGACATCTTCTTGGCCTCATGTTGAACATTTAAAATAATTATTCCAGATTTCTAAAATGAGCTTTATTCCCACAGTTTGCCTCCTCTCTGTTATCATCTTGTTGTTTATAATATTAAGAATGTGCTCTCTTTAATTGTTAAAAAACTTGATTGTGTGCTAAACTACAAAGATTTGCTTGATTTTTTTATTCATTTTAATATTTCAAATGTGCACTTTAATGTTTTGTTTGTTTGAATTGGAATCTGATGTGAAATTTGTTTGTGACCTTTGTTTTTTTATAGTTGTTAATGACAGAATCACCTGTTTAATCAGATGATGTACATTTAAAGCTACAGCTGTAAATGAATGTTCAAGTTATTGTTTCACCAAACACGAGGCCTTCGACGTGTCAAACTGTATGTTGTGACAGTAAAGAGAAACTTCACTTCCTGTTAAAAAAATGTGTCCCTTGGTTTGTTGGAATCGTCTCACAACCCCACATTAATGCAGATCAATGACTCGGAGGAGAGCTTTTATTTATTCAGCATTTAAAGACTAATAAAACAGGAAAACAAGGTTCTTAAAAACTAAAAGTGTGTCTCTGTAATGTGTCCAAGAGGAAACAAAAAGTGTCTTTGCTTAAATTTTGGGGAGAAAATCTGGGTCTGAGGAGTAGAACTGACCAACAGACTTCTTTCCTCCAATAATAAACATTTTCTAAGCTTCCAACTCTTTGCAGTTGAACTTTAACAAACAAAGCTGCAGCTGAGACCGAATCTCCTCCAGTCKGGGAAGAGCATATTAACCTAATTAAACTTTGAAAAATGGATCTAACTGTGGCAGGAAATGGGACATTTTTTCTAATCGGAATCTATAATTAAATGTATGAATGGACTAAATTCATTTCTAAAAAAATTCAGTCTAATCTTTCTTTATAAAAGCATCCCCTCATCGACCCTGAGTCAGTTTATGACGAGTTTACAGAAGTTATGGTTCTTGAACGACCTGACGTGTGYTGTTTTGAAGCTGGTTTGGCGTCAGCAGAGAGCAGAAAACACCTGCYGCTTCCTCTCATCTGCTGCCACCCTCCGCTGAAAGTGACACAGAGTCGTCCTCCTCGCCTGGAAATTAAAGCCAGAGACAAAACAGAGCCCAGGCAGGAGCTGATAAACGTCTCACAGCCTGTCTCATCATCCATTTGGGAGTGGAGAGGAAATAGAAACGAAGCACGATGGGGAGCGAAAACAGGATCTCCTGCGCTGCCTGTCTCAAATTATTACTGCTCTTGTAAAGTTAACCTCATCTGATGATAAATATTAACATTTAGGAGAAAGCATTTTGACTGTTACATAATTACATAATCATTATAAGACTATTMTGGCGAGAAAACTCTGACAGTTCTGCTGGAAATGCCCCGGGCTACAAGTGCTAAAGCTAGCTTCTGCGTCTCAGTTCTGTGTAAATAACTGTGTGATGGAAAAACAACTTTAACAGATGAAACAATAATCAAACTGAATTCACAAAGGTTTTAAAGCATAAACATCTTCCCATGGCACCAATTAGACTTTACCAAGCAAATAAGAAACAGTTAACTTGAGGTGACTTTTTGGTGTTACTGTAAATTAACTGTTGTAGGATGTCAGTGGATCAGGTAATTTGGCTGGGAAGTATTTGCACAGTCGGCACGAGTGTCCAAAAACAATAAAATTATAATAACGTTTGGTGCTGATGTGTGCACATCTGTCAGTGTGTAGGAGGGTGTGTGTGGGTGGAGTCAAAAGGTCCATTRAAGGGARCATGTGCAAAATCCMCTTTTTTRTTGCATTGTGTTGTGTACTTGGAGTCTATGAGGGCTAAAAATTGGAGTTTAATATATCCTGGTAAATGTAGACATCTTTATATTCTGTTTRGGATGTATTTTTCAGTCCGTTCAGTTGTCTCTATTTTCTGATGTTTTCTTTTACGTTTGGGTTTAAAGAGACAGCCTCAAAACGAGCTGAYCTGAGAYGCATGTCAGAAAAGGTTTGTAACGTTACCACAAGGAGGAATTTAAACCAAAGTATTGCAGTTCCACTTTATACAGACCCCAACTGTCYGTCCRTCCGTTTTCTTCCACTTGTCCGGGATCGGGTCTCAGGGGCAGCAATAAGCAGAGAGACCCAGACTTCCCTCTCCCCAGACACTTGRGCCAGCTCGTCCGGGGGAATCCCAAGGTGTTCCCAGGCCAGCTGAGAAACATAGTCCCTCCAGCGTGTCCTCGGTCTTCCTCTGAGTTTCCTCACCAGGGAGGCGTCCAGGAGGCATCCTAACCAGATGTTCGAGCCACCTCAACTGGCTCCTCTCAACGTGGAGGAGCAGCGGCTCTACTCTGAGTCCCTCCCGGATGACCGAGCCTCTCACTCTATCTCTAAGGGAGAGCCCAGACACCCTGTGGAGGAAACTTACTTCAGCCGCTTGTATCCGCAATCTCGTTCTTTCAGTCACTGCTCAAAGCTCGTGACCATAGATGAGGGAAGGAACGTAGACCGACCGGTAAATCGAAAGCTTTGCCTTCTGGCTCAGAAGACCCCAATTGATTGATTTCAATGTGAAACAGGAGAATTTAAAAACATCATTTAAGACATTTTTAACTGATTTCCTGCTGGATCCGTGAACATATATTTCATGTCAGAAAGAAACAGTCCAGGATTTGTATTTATTTATTTATTGCTTGCTTGTACAAACATGTCACAGAAACATTTGTCCTCAGGCTTTCTACCAAATCCTCCTATTAAAGTGAACCATTCGGGTCATGACCCAAACTGAACTGCTGATCCACATCTAATCAGCTATATATGCATACATGCAGCAAAGCAACATTAAGTTTGAAACTTGCTGCATTTGTCAAAAGGTAGCTGCAGTAAAGACTCAACAAGCAGACAAAGAGGCAGAGAACTAAATTAAAACTGCAGCTTTAATCAAAATGACAAAGTGGTGGAGCTACAAAGCGAGAAAAATCAAGTGACGACGACTCTGAGAGGCATTCCAAGAAGAAACGAGCTGCTATAGGGAGTGAAAGTGACTTGGGAGTGTAGGGAGGGTTGATCAGTGTGTGAGAGCGAGCAGCTGGGGTGGATGAGGAGCTGAACTGCAGATGTGAGCACATTCATRCTCTTGGCTTCGTTTCCTGGAACAACCGAGACTAAAGGGTGTCTTCTTTGTTTTCTTTAACACAAACTGTTAAACACCGAAATACAAAGGAAGAAACACAGATTCACTGACTCACAGCGGGCAGCAGATTATCTTACCTGCGATTCTCCRTGAAGCATCTCAGAATGCGGCTGTGTTTTGCGATTAGCGCGCAGAATGTGCCACAGCTTCGGTGACGTGTGCGTGCACAGTTTGCACGAGAAATGTTGCTGCAGCAGCTGTTTGACTGAAAACCTCCTGCATGTTGTCGTTTGGGCCTCTGAGCTCGCAGCGTGCATGGGAATCTCTGCACTGTCAACATGATAGACTGGATGAGTCCTTTAGGTTATCGAGTTAAACCAACAAGACCGTTTCACAAATCTGCTTGCTCTCTACCCTGGAATGGTTTCGGAAAGTATTGACTTTAAAGGGGGGGGGGGGGGGATCAGCAGGCAGAGTGAGTTTTTACCAACATGTCTGCTACAGATCATAAATGCTTCACACGTCATCCATTAGTGGTGCAATGGTTCAAGATGTTGCCTCTCCAACATGTCTGCTACAGATCATAAATGCTTCACACGTCATCCATTAGTGGTGCAATGGTTCAAGATGTTGCCTCTCAACGAGGAGGTTGCAGGCTCGCCTCCTTTGTCATTCTTGAGTTTTACTCACTGTCGGTATTTTCATCTGGAACCAGGACCACTGATTGTTAGCGTCACAGATCTACGGTAAGTGGAAGTTCTTTAGCAGCAACTGCAGAGAACAAGTGAGCTTACTCACACACGAGGTATCGGATGTCTCCTCTGAGACAGATCTGAAAAGCACCAAAGGACATTATGAAGAGAAAAAACACTGATGTAGAAGGAAGGAACTTTTTGCGCGTCTGTCAATGCTTTCTGTCATTATAAAACAGATCAATCTTGCAATAAAATAAACATAAAAYAAAAACATTTTTATTAATGCAAATGGAAATGAGTTGTAGTAAATGGTTTAAACTTGTGTAGCACTTTTTCAAGTCCCTACAGATTTCAAAGTGCTGTACAGCCTCACTCGTTCCACAGTGATGGTGTTTAAATGTTTAAACTGGAGATATGTATCAAAATGAGGTTTGTCTCTCTAAGAGCTTAACTCAACCACCTGCTGAGCAAGAAGAAGTGAACACGAGGAAAAGGATGTCGGGTGCTCTTTTTTGACGCAGGCCTTGATGTTTTGCTAAACCTAAAGCAAGCGTATCCCTGCTGTGGCGCCAATAACCAAAATACTACCTTAACTGTTTTCTAAAATGCCTAAATTGTGTAAAAATAAAACTGAATATTTGCTGCCTTTTTTTGCTTCAATCATTATTTCATTTGGCAATCCTGCCATAGAGGCATGTATAAAAAGGCAAACAAGCTCATTCCCTTTGGGAGCATGTTTTATAGCAATACAAAGAGAAATAAATCCTTTTAAGAAGAAGAAACTGGAAGAACCAGATTCAGGGTGGACCACCACGTGCCTAAACCGGTTAGGCTCAAGGATTAGCAACAACAAATACTGACAGGGCTGGTCTGCWGTTTAGCTGCAGGACAGAACAAGTTCTGTGTTTCAGAACATTTCAAAAGGAGAAATAAGTGCAAAGAAATTGGTTTGATTTCTATTTGAATTTGAATTAGCCCAAACTAGTTGATAATATTAAGAAACTCACAGAGCAAAACTTGTAACTTAAAGAGGCAATATCATGTAAAATAAACTTTTTTGAGTTTTATATCATGTTATTATGTTATACTCACAAAAAAACATGTCAAAAGCCTTGCTTTGACTCATTCATGCATGTTTGAGAAATCCTGCAGCGTTTTTAGGAAGCCATGCTGAGGAGCAAAACGACAGGTGGGGACCAGAAACGCCTTTTGGGACCAAAAACGCCCCTGGGACGTGTCTTTAAGCCGAACTTCCTCATGCCAGAGCGCCCCCCAACTCCCCACACACCCCGCCCCTCCTGCAGGCTCTCGGGTGAAAGTGAAAGTGAAACCTAACTGTCTGCTGAGCTCTCAACATTAGTTCTCACTCAGTGAAGCTTTTTTCAGATT